CCTCTGAGGAGAAGGTGCTGAGACCTCTGAGGAGAAGGTGCTGAGACCTCTGTGGAGAAGGTGCTCAGACCTCTGTGGAGAAGGTGCTCCGGCCTCTGTGAAGCAGACATTCACTGACCTGTCTGGGCTAGTGCTGGTCTATGGTCAATGTCAGGCGAGAGTCAACTACCAAAGATGCTGCAGGCCCAGACTATCCACAGCAGAGGCAAGGGTATGTGGAGTGCTTGGGTGCCTGAGGACAGGTGTCCCTGGCTCACTGGTTTCCATATGATCAGGTCATGCTGCAGCTCTGCATTGCCAGCTGGACTCTGACCACATGCCACATCACCATCCCATCACATGGCACCTGAAACTGCAGGGGAGTTAGGTGCTCCCGTCTTGTCCAGTGACCTTTGCTGAGAGTTGCGTCATGGCTGCTGTAGAGAAGGACACTGACACGGACTCTCCTCACAGCAGAACTGGTGTCAAGGGCAAAGCAGAGCTGAGAGGCGGTTACTGTGTTTTGGGCTCTCTGCAGAGGAGTCTGTTCAGTGTGGTGTTCTGGCATTTTCTGTTTAGACATCTTCCCATGAAGTCATTTGTTTCTGTCTGTGTCTTCAGGATCTTTCCATGTGGGCTGTTTGTGGTGATAAACTAGCTGTCTTCCCCATGATCCTCTGGTGGCATGGCCATTCCTCACTTGAAGCTGTCACTTGAAATGTGGCTTGTGCCACCAAAGAAGTCAGCAGTTTTAACTTCAGTGGATTGAAACTTACTCTGTATGAGCCATAGTCTTAAAAACAGCACGGTACCGGCACAAAAACAGACACATAGATAATGGAACATCACTGACGATCCAAACCAGAGTACACACAATTTCAGCCACCTGATGTTTGACAAAGGAGCCAAGAACACACAATGGAGGAAAGAGCATCTTCAACAAATGGTGCTGGCAAACCTGAATCTCCACCTGTAGAAGAATGAAACTAGATCCTTATCTTTCACCTTGCACAAAAGTCAACACCAAATGGATCAAAGACCTCAACATGAATCTGGAAACCCTGAAACTATTAGAAGAAAATATTGGTGGTAACTTACAGGATATAGGTATAGGAAAGGATTTTCTAAATCAGACAGAAGTTGCTCAGGAATTAAGGTCAGTAATCAACAAGTGAGCCCTCATTAAACTAAAAAAAAACCTTCTGTACCACAAAAGAAACAATCAAAAAAGTGAAGAGCAAACCCACAGAATGGGAAAAAAATCTTCACCAGTGACACATCTGACAGAGGTTTAACATCCAGATATCAGTCACTCAGGAATTAGGTTAGTAATCAACAAGTGGGACCTCATTAAACTAAAAAGCCTCTGTACAGCAAAAGAAGCAATCAAAAAGGTGAAGAGAAAACCCACAGAATGGGAAAAACTTCACCAGTGACACATCTGATGACAGAGGTTTAACATCCGGAATACATAAAGAACTCCAGAAAAAAAATTGAGAAACCAAATGACACAATTAAAAGATGGGCTAAAGATCTAAACAGTTCTCAAAGGAAGAAATAAAGATGGCTAAGAAACATTTCAAAAACTGTTCAACATCGTTAGTAACTAGGGAAATGCAAATTAAAACCACCCTAAGGTATCACCATACCCCAATCAGAATGGATAGGATCAAGAAAATAAATGATACCAGATGCTGGCAAAGACGTGGAGAAAGGGGAATGCTCACTCACTGCTGGTGGGATTGCAAATTTGTGCAACCTCTATGGAAAACAATGTGGAGAAGTCTTAAAAAACTAAAAATGAACCTACCATATGACAAGGTTATACCACTCTGGATTTTTTACTCAGCAGTAAAGAAAGATGAAATAATGAAATTTGCAGGTAAATGGATGGATCTAGAAACTTATACTAAGTGAAGTAATGCAGACTCAGAAAAACAAAAGACGTATGTTCTCCTTCATATGTGGCGCCTAGCACCAAATCCTTTTAAATTCCAAGTCCTTTTAATAAGATGATGCTATACAGCAGTCCTTTCTGCATGAAATAACTACCATCATCATGACTTGGGCTGAGCCTGATTGCTAAACATAGTCACAATTGGCCTTGTTGACAGTTGTGCTCATTCATTAAAGGAGTGCCAAGCAGGGTCACTGGACCCTCACCTGAGTATCCAGCCACTCTTCGCAGCCAACTAGTCCAGCCTTGGAAGACAAAAGAAAAATGAGGAAGAACCCAATAGAGGGATGCTTTTGAAGCCCTTGTCAAGAAACTCCAGTGGACTCTCATGAACATTTGAAGATTGCCCTGTTCTGACCTTTTTCTAGTTCCCTGTCTAGAACTTGTAACGCTAATTCCTCTTGCCTTTACTTCTCCTTCACATCTCCTGTTCATGATTCAAGGACATTCTTCTCCCCTTAGAGACTAGAGTTATGCAATTTGGGAGTCTTTTAGATAGACCCACTGAAGGGGTACTCCAATTGCCTCACCCTGCGTCCCTGTTCAGCATGGAAGAAGCCAGAGCAGTCTGCATCCCTTTTCCTATTGGCAATTTGGGTAACCCCTTCAGAAGATGACATGGTAAGAATAGGAGGTAGGAATTGGCTAGGCAGTTAGGATAAAGAGACCCCAAAGAAATGTTGCCAGTTTCTTGGCTAAAAGTCAAATGTCCTTGGGCCTCTTAGCAACATACTCTGTTCCAAAGGCCAAAAATATCAAAAGTATTTGGGAGCTTGTATCTAATTCTTAAAAGATTTTTAGGGTTCCCTCTTCAGAGGGGGGAATGTTGTAGGAGAGGGAGTGGGCATGGATTTGATCAAAACACCTTATATGCATATATGAAATTCCCAATAAAGTTTTTGTAAAAATTGGAAAAAAGAAACTTACTCTGTACATGCGGCAGTGGCTCCGTTGGGCAGCAGGTCCATTCTAGCTCTGTGCTGCATTGAGGTCGACGCCGAGAGATCATACTGCTCCCACGGTTTGCTTGCTGTTTGGCTCAGTCATCTTCCTGCATGTCCTTGTGCTCTTGCAGGACCTGGGAGGATGCTGGCCTCGGAAAATACTCGGTCTTGTGTGGTGCGAACACAAGTGCTTACTGCCAGCCTGCTGTCCACACCTCCTGGTCACGGTGCACCTGATTGTCCCGTGCTGTGTTGTCCTAGTTCTTGTTGTGCCTGCCCTAGGTACTTTTTCACAAGGCACTGCTCAGAGTGGTCAACATCTGGCATGGTCTTTAAGTTTTTATTTTTATTGCGTTTTATTTATTATTTATTTATTTATTTTGTGTGTGCATGTGCAGGCCACAAGGCAGCGGTCAAGATATGGGAGTCAGTCCTCTTCTTCCACCATGTGGGTTCCAGGGATTGAACTTAGGTCATCAGGCTTGGTGGCGAGCACCTTTACCCCCTGAATGCCAGCCAGCCCCTAGCCAGCATGCTTTTTGTTGCTGTTCTTGTTTTTATGCTTTGTCTTTTTGAGACAGGGTCTCCCTGAAGCCTCAGCTGACCTGGAACTCTCTATGTAGACCAGGCTGGCCTTGTACTCAAGAGATCTGCCTGCCCCTGCCTCCTGAGTGCTAGGATTAAAGCATGGGCTGCCGCAATGGGCAAGCATGCCTTTTAAATGACCCTGTAATATTATAGCATGGTTTACTTACATGATCAGCAGACCTTAGATCATTGCTATGTTGTAAAGTTCACTGTAATGAGCCTCTGTGTATAAAACTAATTCTGTCCTTGAATTAGGCTAGATAGAGGGAGAGGGGTGTTAAGGCAGGAACATGGCATCTAAAACAAGAGGCAGGTCTCCTGTAGCACGGCTGAGTGTGGGCTCCCTTCGCAGTGCCCGCCACGGCCCCAGTACCAGTCTCCGATTCTGCAGAGTGCCCAGTTCATCTTCAGTCACTCTTACTTTGACCACCTGGGGAACCTCATCGCTCTGGGAAACCTCTTGTCGATTTGTGTGAGTAGGAGCTGCATCCTGTGGTGGCAGCTTAGTGAAAGTGCCAGGCCGTGCCCTGCCGGCCAGCCCTGTGGCCTGCGGCATGCTGATCCACCCTCTACTTTGGCTTTGCAGGTGTTCCTGGTGAGGGACTCAGACCGGATGCCTGAGGAACGTGATGACCTTGTCTTGGGGGTGAGCTCTGGGGCCACTGTCCTGTCAGGCTGTCAGCTCTGCCGGGATGGAAAGTGAGGCAGAGCCGGAGGGTGATGTCTGCCCACAGAACGCTGTGGTCCCTTGTGGGCTTGAGGCTCTGGCTCTGTGGGCAGAGAGGGGCAGGTGGGGGACAGAATGGCTCTCACGGGCCCTGGCTTAGCAGGGTAGGTGGCCGAGGATTCTTTCGAGAAAGTGGGGCTGCAGCAGGCCTGATTGGGGGTCTTCTGGGCTGTCTGGCTTTGCCCCTAAGAAATAACTGGGATTCCCTATCCTTATCTGATATGAAAGGGGGAATCTGTCAGATTCCTTATAAATTGAGTTTTCCTAATTCTTTTTTGTTGGTTTTTTTTTATTTTTTTTTTTTTAGGCGTGGTCTCACTGTGTAGCCTTGACTGGCCTAGAATTTACTGTATAGACCAGGCTGATCAGATCCCCCTGCCTCTGCTTAAAAGGCGGGTATGTGTTACCACGTCTGGCCTTTTTCCATTTTGAGTATGGAGCAGAAGCACATGCTGCCCATGTTGCTTCCACCAGCGCCTCAGCCGAGGCTGTCTCAGTTCACTGATGCACTATGATGTGAAAGAGATTGTTCATGACAGCCATGAGGCGGCCCTGTTTAAGTGTAGAGCAGCTTGTTTCTCGTGTGTTTATCATAGCATAAAAATGGAGAGACAGTCTGGCTGATGTCTGAAGCTTCCTGTGTCCTTGATGTTGGGTCTCCACCTTGGATGAGGTCAGAGGGCTCTAACCCTCTCAGTATATCTTGTGTGGTGGCGCCACTGTCCTGCTGATGGGGGTCAGATCTGATGCAGGCCCCTGCAGTTATCTTACTGATACGGTGTGGTGGTTGGGGTCCGCCTCCAAGCTGATCTTGGATTGATCTCTTTTATACTCTGTCATGGTGGTTCCTCTAAGTGGAAAGCTTTATTCTTCCTGCCCTTGAACACTCAGCTCCACACAGGGAGGGCAGTGCTTGCCATCCAAGAACGCATAGAACACAGGCTGCACAGCTGGGGAGTGACCCGCCTCATGGTCTGTCCTGTGTGTGGGGTCACACACGACCCCTTTAAAGGAAGAGCTACTTGTGTTTCCTTCCTGGCTGACATCATCATCTTTGAGGCACCCCTCACCACCAAGTCCTCACCCTGTTGGGGAGAAGCTTCTGGGAGCTCAGTTTCCTCAGAGAGGTGCCCACCCCCCCAAGCTGGATCAGGTGCAGATGTGTGTTCTTGAGGTCCATGAGGACAGCTGAGGAGACAGAGCAAAACGTGGGAGAGCCAGGGATGACCTAAGCTGAGGGGACAGGGTCCTGGAGGGGTGGCGGTGGTGGGGTGACGTGGCTGCCAGGGCTCAGCAACTCATGGCCAGCTCCTGGGATGGTACAGTGGGCGAGGCCTGGCACTGGCTCCTCCTCTGCTCCTTCAGATTCTCGACTACGTCTTTGTCCTGTACTACATGCTGGAGATGATGCTCAAGGTGTTCGCTCTGGGCCTGCAGTGCTACCTGTCCCACCACAGCAATGTGTTTGATGGCCTCCTCACTATCATCCTGCTGGTAATGTCCGTGCCTGGGGCACCTCTCCTGGAGGCTCTGTCTGCAGCTCTGTGAGGTCCCTTCTAGTGTCTTAGTATAGTGGAGGAGGTGGGGCTCCTGGCTCAAGGGACCTGGGGTGAGCTGTGTGATGGGGGATGCAGGAGGCTGGGTCTCAGCTATGTCCAGGCTGCCACTTTCCACCCTGAGGGAGGTCCGGCAGGACTCACAGCTGTTACCAGTCAACCCAGCCCCTGGCAAGGCCCTCCAGTGCCACTGGTTTACAATGTGACCTTGGCAAATGAGGGTTAGGGGTCTTAGGCACCCAGAGAAGCCATGGACTTTCTTTCCCTAGTCACTGTATATGAGGGGGCTTACACTCTGTGAGGTTGTCACAGCAGCAACCTTGAGTGACAGTTTTATTGCCATTGGGCCCCTGGGACCGAGCTCTGAGTTCCCCGAGAAGCTCATGCGATGGACACGAGACTTGTGGTTCTGCCTGGGATGGTGCTGGTTGGCTGGTGCCGCCAGGGCTGGCACTGACGGACGATGCCTCCTTCTCTCTGTGGTCAGGTTTTGGAGATCTCCACCTTGGTTGTGTACCGATTCCCCGGCTCAGGCGGGTATGTGATCGCAGAGAACCCAGGAGTGCCACCTGAACAGTGTCTGTCTTGCTGTACCCAAGGGACAGGTTCCAGGGCCACGTGGGGTCCATGGCTGCTGGTGTGGGCCTCTCGGCCACGAGGGCTGTTGAACTATGGGCCTGCCCAGCATCGGGGGACGTGTGAAGACAGGCTGCTCCTCGCGTAGGCAGTCCCCTCTGTGGCGTGGCATCCCTGGTGGCTTGGTAGGCAGTGGTTGTGTTCCCTCCAAGGCGTCCTTCCAAATGACCCAAGCACAGAGTCACTTGGCTCAGGTCTGGGGGGCCTGGGGGTCGCAGACTGAGCTGGGTTCCGTTCTGGTGTCTGCCCAGCTTCTGACCCTGGCTTGTCTCTTGCCGTACACATAAAGTTCTCTTTACTTCCTATAAAATGGTGTCCCTGGGGCTCTGGCTTGTTGAAGTGTTAGGACACTGGCCCCCATTCTGGCTTTGCAGAGGGAGTCCTGGGCAGGGCCCAGGTGGTAAGTGCTTGGCCTGCATTGGTGAGGCTGCCCTGTGCCAGGATCTGATGCCACCAGTTGCCATGAGAGGCTCCTGTGAGCCATGGCTAACCCAGCACAGGCGAGGGGACGTTGGTATCCTGCTTTGTCTTAGACAGTGGAACAGCTGGGAGAGGGCTGGGGGCCCAGCGCTGACTTGCAAAGTTGGCTCTGGGGAACCTACTGGGGCTGCTTTGGAGATGGGCAGGGATGGATGGTCTGCCTGGCAGGGGCCGTGTGAATGACCTTATGTCTGGGGTATACCAAGCTCCCCTTGAACTTTGTCTCATAGCCTTGGGAATTGGGGTGACATTTGGGTTGAGACTGGCTTATGTTTAGATAGGAGTGAAAGCAGAGGGGCCATGGGGTCTCCAGGGTGGAGGAGCAGCCATAGGGGTCACGGGACAGGAGGTGGGGTCGGGAAACAGGATCAAAATTCATAGACCCAGATAAACAGTCAACAGATGGGACGGGGTCAAAGGCTAGGGGGACTAGGTTGGGGTTAGGACACCCTCCACTTCTTCCAGGACCTGAGCTTGGCAGTGGGTCTTGGAGAGTGGCTTTGGTAAAGGGTCTGTCCCCATGCTGTGGAGCTGTGCTGGACAGCGTGGCTGTGACTGGGGTGGTCTGCGCCGTAGGTGTGGGGTATGACCAGGTTGGGCCCCCCACCTCGTGGGGGCTTTTCTGCCTGCTGTGTCCACATGGTGACCATTGCTGTCTGTGCCTCTGCCCTCTCGTCTTCCAGCCCCTCCAGGCTTCCTAACTCAGCTCCTGTCTCCCCAGGATGCCGGAGAAGCGGGGTCTCCTCTCTCTGTGGGACATGAGGCGGCTGGTGAACACGCTGATTGTGTTCCGATTCCTGCGCATCATCCTCATTGTGAAGGTATGTGGACAGTCTCCACTGTGGCCTGATGCAGACCCCAGTACTGGGGGGCCCAGGGATGCCAACCACTTTGGTCTCTTGGGGCACACCCTCAGTCATCCACGGCACCCCTAAGCTGCTGGGACAAGAGCTCACACCTTTTCTTTGAGCCTCCAGGCCACCAAGTTGCAAACCTGACCTCATAGGATCTGCGGACAGAATGTGGCTTTGGTCTGATTACTTGACTGCCAGAGTGGCTTGGGTGTGACTGGACACCCACAGGAGGCTAGGCATATTCGGGAGTGTGTGAGAGTGTGCCTGTGCGTGTGCAGTGTGTGTGTGAAATTGTGGGTATGGGAGGTGTCTGGGTTGTGAGGATATGTGTGTGTGTGCAGGTGTGTATGGGTGTATGGGTGGCTGTGGGGTATGGTGTGTTAGTCTGCAGATGGCCCTGAGGTGGATGTCCAGGTATGTCTAGATGCTTGTGAATGGCTGCAGAGTAGCTTGCTGGTGATCTATCATCCCATTCGGTCAGGGCCAGGATCGGGTTATGGGGGGGCACTGCTGTCAGGGGCAGGAGGAGTCAGGCTGAGCCCTCTTCTTCTCCACAGCCAATGACTGTAGTGGCCACCACCATCCTGGGCCTGATCCAGAACTTGCGGGCATTTGGCGGGATCCTGGTGGTAAGTCCTGGGGCTTTGGGTGGGCTGGCTTCTCGGAGCCCAAGGGGATGGGACTGGCCTAGCTCTACTCAGCTCTGGTGAGGAGGCCAGCATAGTGTGTCAGGATCCAGACTTGTCCCCTTCCTTCCAGAGAGGACCTGGGGCTACCATGTGGGTCTCCCTCCCCATGCAGGGTCCTTGTGGTAATTGTCCAGTCCTGCATAACCACAGTGAGAACCAGTGGTGAGGGGCCCTTCCCAGGAGCCCCAGCTTGAGGCATCAAAAGATGCTCTTCCCAGTGATTCAGGGGCTCATAGCCCTATGTGCCAGGCGGAAGCCAAGATGGGCCTGGGCACTCGCTTCTGTGGCCAGATGGCTTGGGCCATTCTGTGTGAGGCTGACAGCTGGGGTGCCTGAACAGCACCCAGATTCCCTGTAGAGTTTTGGGAGTGGCTGCCCAGGTACCCCTGGCCTCTTAAGCTCCTGTCTCTCCCTTCCCCAACCCCCAACCTGGCCCTGTGGCTGTGCTGACCTGGCCCCACCTACAGGTGGCGTACTACGTGTTTGCGATTGTCGGGATCAGCTTGTTCCGAGGTGTTATTGTGGCTCCTTCTGGAAATAGCAGGTGAGGGGCCTCTGTGCCCTCGGACACCTCATGGAGCCCTCCCTCTTCACCTCTGGCCTAGGTGTCCTACCTTGGGTCTTGTGAGCAGGAGCTGTTACCAGGCTGCGGCAGCCCTGGGGTTGGGTGAAGGGTGGAGCACTGGCCTCAGAACCTGGAGCCCAGCCTCTGGCTTACTCTCCTGTGTGGCTGGTCGGGGGCGTTTTCTCTCTTTGCCTCTTCCCCGGGGTCTGACAGTCCATGCTGGGATGGGAATGGGGCAGTGTTAGGCTGTACTTACGGGCAGTGAGGGCCCCTGGCTGCCGCCACTGACCGAGCAGCACTGTGTCCCATCCTGGCTCCTAGTAACAGCTCGGCACCCTGTGGAAGCTTTGAGCAGCTGGAATATTGGGCCAACAACTTCGACGACTTCGCCGTGAGTCCTCTGCCTTGTCCCTGGGCCTCCCCCTCTGCCTTGTCCCTGGGCCCCCTCTGCCTTGTCTCTAGACACTCTTGGACCCTCCTGGACCTACCCTCTGCTGCCCCACAGGCCGCTCTGGTCACGCTGTGGAATGTGATGGTGGTAAACAACTGGCAGGTGTTCCTGGATGTGTATCGGCGCTTCTCTGGCCCGTGAGTCCCCTCTGCCCTAGTGGTGGCTCTGAGCTGAACAGGACGGCAGAGACCCAGGGCCTGGATTGAGAAGGGAGCCAGTCCCTGACCATGTAAGGCTGGCCAAGCTGCATCCTGGCAGGCTTCAACCTCCATGCATACTGCATTGAGAGATGGCCACAGCCCTGGCCTTAGGCACCCTGGGGGTGCCAGTGTGACAGAAATGAATGCGTTACATGATTGCCTAGGGCTTCATGGGGATGGAGTCATGACACTGATTTAGCTCAGTCATAGCTTAGAGCTCTAAACAGCCCAGTGGAGGGGCCTGGGTTCAAATCTCAGCTGCACCTCTTGCTGGCTGGGTTTCCTCTGGTGGCACTGGCTGTTTGTAAGCCCTGATTTTATGGGACAGCACCATACTGTACGTGGTGGAGTTAGTGGCAGGATCTACGAAGCCCACTGCAGATGTGCATTAGTAGTTGTTTGTCTTTCTGGAATGATCTTGTCCCAATCACGGTATACCCTGGCCTTCTTATCTTTCCCAGGTGGTCAGTCGTCTACTTTGTGTTGTGGTGGCTGGTGTCTTCTGTCATCTGGGTCAACCTGTTTCTGGCTCTACTTCTGGAGGTATCAGATGTGTCCCTGTCCATGCCCGATGCTGCTGGTCAGGCCTTCTGAAGCTTTAATGGGCAAGCCTGGCCAGCCTTGGGTGTAGGCTGAAGGAGCCGGGCCAGGGGCCTCCATGCTGTTTGCTCTGATTGCCGGGGCCCGTTAGGGGCCCCTGGGGTTCTCAGGATCCCACACTGACTGGAGGAGAGAGTCGAACATCTTGTTATATCAGGGGTATAGATTTCCTGGGTCCTGTACCCAGTGTCAAGGGTGAAGCTGCTTCCCATGGTGACCCTTGCTATAGGCCAGGGGGCAGGAGTGGGGCTATGAGGCTGGTGTCACACAGTAGTCACCACCCTGCCTTCTTCCCATTCCAGAACTTTCTTTACAGATGGGACCCCCGAAGTCATAAGCAGCCCCTTGCTAGGACCCAGCAGGCCACTTACCAGATGTCTGTGGAGCTCATTTTCAGGTATGGCATCCTGCGGGGCATGGAGCTGACAATGGACGGGAGTGAGGGAAGGAGAGATAGAGTCGGGGAGACTCTGGCAGGGCTCCTCTGGACCACGGGTCACCTGCAGCTGAACTGAGCTGGTGAGAGATGTTCACAACACAGGTGGATACTTATGTTCCTGCCGTGGCTGAGGGAGGACTCTGCCCTGCTTGGGGTTCAGCACCCTGAAGGGACCATCTGTCCTTTAGTATCTTGTAGCCTCTGGCTGGTCCCAGGGGGCACACCCAGGTGGCCCAGGGGAGCCACATCCTTTTCCCTTGTGGCACTGTGGCAGCAGTGGCCCTGCTGGCTGGTGTAAGACGGTCTCCAGGCTTCCAGGATTTGTGTTTAATGCTTTTTGGTGCTGAGGATGGAGTCTATGCCGTGAGCATGCCCTTTGCATTGAACCCCTCCCAGCCCCCTCTGGGTGCTCATCAGCTTGTCTGTGTCTTACCGGGGTGGGGACCTGCATACTTATGTTCTTGTCACCCAGTTTTAAAGGTACCTGCAGGTTGGAGACTTGGTGCCTTGTCCGCTGGCTCTGCTCACCAGCTCTGAGGGGCCCAGGTCCATTTCTCCCTGAAGCTCCTGTGCATCTGTCCCCAACCCCACAGGGACATCCTGGAGGAGCCCAAAGAGGAGGAGCTGATGGAGAGACTTCACCAGCACCCATACCTGCATCTGTGCAGGTGACGTCAGCGTGGCCTCCCAGCTGGGGTGGCAGGACAGAGATGCTGGCCTGGGGCCTGTGGAGGCAGCAGCTAATAGAGACCAAGCAAGAAAGGCCAGTGCCTGGGACAGACCACTATGCAGGGGCAGGTGGGGACTGGGATGAGGACTTCGCCCTGGTGGCCGCTCTGCAGTGTCGCCTGGCTCTGGCAGAGTGATGGCTGGTGCTGCAGGACTGTGTCCCGCCTCGCTGCTCTTCCAAGCTGCTTCAGTGAGACTTGCTCAGGAGAGGGCGACCTTGCAGGGACATCCAAGGCAGCCTGGGAAGCCTCAGCTCCCCTCCTCCTCAGCTCATCTGTGCCTTTGGGGACCCTGTCCTGCACAGGGCCTGCAGAGGGTAACCAGCAAGTTTCCAGGGCATTGGGGTTGGGTGGGTATCATGTGAAGAGAATGTTGCCTGTGTTTTGGTTTCACAGTGTCTGAGTGTGATTGGGTTCGTCTCTGTGGGTCACGGTGCTGGTCATTTTCACCTGTAAGTTTTATAAAGAATGAGACTGTTCTTGTCTTGTTGCACCTCTGGTCCTGCTGCTCTGGAGCAGGACTGTTGGGCAGTGTTTTAGCTGTGTACTGCACAAGGACACCAGGTGGTGAGGCGTGTCTTACCTGTGGTCAGGAGCATCCTTTAGTGATAGGCACAGTGGGAGTCCTATTTTGTGAGTCCTCCGGGAGTGTGGAAGAGGTGGGACTGGGGTAGGAAGGCATGAGAGGTGATCAACTCAGGGTGCTAGATTGACCAAATATTTCAAGTGCCAACTCTGGAGGCAGGCGGATCTCTGAGTTAAGCCCAGCCTGGTCTACATAGCAAGTTCCAGGCCAGCTGGGGCTACAGGGAGACCCTGTCTTAAAAAGACCAAAAACAAAAAACCAAAAAACCCCAAACTCAGTGCCAACTCTGGGGATTGGTGGTGGAGTTTCTTGGGGGGTCTTTTGTAGAAAGCTGAGGTCTATGCATTATGTCTGTTTGTGGGCGCTGACAAGGAATAGGGGCTCAGTGATATTTCACCACAGGCTGCAAGCCCCCGATTCCCTGTGGTCTGGGAAAGGGAGTTGAGGAAAGAGAGACGGGCTTTCAGGAAAGTGCAGTGCCCATGCAGAGTGGTAGGCTCCTGGCCCAGGCATCCTCTGCATTTCCCTGACACCTTCTGGTGTCTGCTCCTCTGCAGGCTGCTTTCCTCTAGGCTGATTTGGAGGCAACACCCAGTTGGCCTCTGCTGGGCTGGCTTGTCCCTGGTACTCCTGGTAGGCCCACAGTGTTGGCTCTGGTCTACCACCTAGACTGCTAAGCCTTGGGTGCCACCTAGTGGTGGGACGGGCTCTGCTGACCTTTACTACACCTGATGGACTCCTGGTAGATTCCAGATCCCTAGAAACTTCTTGCGTTTTCCAGGCCAGCTTGTGTCCTCTATGCAAGTCCTCTGTCCATGTCTTAAAGTGAACCTGGTCTGGCCCTGCTGGGTAGATGTCCGTGTCTTCTGTCTGCTATTTTGTGGATCTGTGCTGCCCGGGGCCACCCTGAGTCATGCATCCTGGTGTTTGTGCAGAGATCTGCCCGCTAGTCATTTTGATCAGGCCGGGCTGTGTGCAGGAAGGTGATGCAGCTCAGACTGCCTTGTTGTCTGGAAGAGCTCTTGAGGTAGCTAGAGTGTGTACTGGGGGCCCTTGGAGGCCTCTATAGCCCAGGTGCACCTGCCTATTTCAGACGACCTTTGACTGCACTGCATGGTGCTTGGACTCAGCGGGATCTGAGGCTCACTAGTGGTCCAGGTGGGGGCTCCGTACAGCATAGGTGATCACGAGACTCCAGTGGGGACAACCCATTGCAAAAGGAATGTGGGCAACTCTCACATGGCCCTCTGCTGCTCTGTGAGCTTGTTGTTGTTTTCTGTGGTCACCTCTCAGTACTGGGTACCAGAGCCATCTGCTGCCCGAGCCTAGAAGCATCTGGGTGATGGAGGTCAGAGGAGCAGGTAGATATGGGTGGGAGGAAGCAGGGGCCACAGAACCCAGTGCTTGCTGCTGGGTCCCACAAAGTGCCTTGTGTCCCTACAGCTGGGGATCTCTGGCTCAGGGTCAACAGGAGGCATTTGTGAAGAGAGCTGGTCCTGGTGACATGGGAGGGTGGATCTGGTAGGGTAGCAGCAGGCCTGTGGCAAGTGGATTGGGCACTGTTGGCCTGAACCCCGAATTCAGAATGCCCAAATTGAAGGTTAAGCAGAGCCCTAGATTTGAGTTGTGGGAGTGTGGGGTGCACGTCTTGAGTCAGCAAGGGGAAGCCCACACCCACCTAGAGGCCTCGGCCCGCCTGGTGCTTGTAATCTGAAGGCAGGATGGTCCTATTTCCTACACTGGCCGTCTTGGGCAGTAGCTGCCCACCAGGGGCCTTGACAGCTCTTTGCATGGAGGTGACTCCCCTGAGGTGACAGGAAACCTCAGAAACACCTGCTCCTCTTTGGATGTCATTACTGGGCTGTCCTCCATCTGCCTCACCTACTCTTTCCTTTCTTGCATCATCTGGTTGCCACTGTATTTAATTTGGTGCCGAAGGTGTCCACATAGACTAGCAGGAACCTCTCATCTAGCTTTCCTGTCTGCCTTTGAAGGCTTCTGTATTTTATTTTCAGTGTTTGTGGGTACATATGATGTGTGTAAGTTTGTGTGTGGGCACATGTGTGCCAACTGCATCCACGCATGAAGTCAGAGGCAACCTTGGTGCTAGTCCTTGCCTCCACCTATTTTTCGGCGGGGTCTTTCTGTTGTTTTCTATTGAATACACCAGGCTCACTGGCCCAGGAGCCCCTGGGGAATCTCCTGTCTCTGCCTCCCATCCCGCTGTAGCACGGGATCACAGATATGCACTACATGCCTGGCTTTATGTGGGTACTGAGGACCTGAGTTCAGATCCTGAAGGAAGGCATTGTGCCAAGGGGCCTGTCCCTTTCAATGATGGGCGTGTAACCAGTGACCATTGTTGCTGGTCGCCTGTCACTGCCTCCTTCTCCATGCAAAGCTAACCCACAGCGTGCTGAGGGACGCTGCAGGGACATGTGTCAGCCTCCAAAAGTAGCTGTTCTAGTTTGCTCTCAACAACCTGGAGAGGAAAGGGTTTATTTTAGCTTATGGGTTACAGTTCATCTTTGGGGGAGAGCGAGGCAGGACCCTGAGGTAGGAATTGACCACTGAGGAATACAGCATCTCCCAGCCTCACATTCAGATACCACCCCCCCCCCTTTTTTTTTTTAAGACAGGGTCTCCCTGTAGCCTCAGCTGGCCTGGAATGTGCTATGTAGACCAGGCTGGGACTAAAGGCATGTGCCACCACACCCAGCCTAGTGGTATTTCTTACACAGCCCAGGTCCATCTGTCTAGGGGTAGCACTACCCATAGTGGGCTGGGCCCTTCTACATGATCAGTGATCAAGAAAATGCCTCACAGACATAGCGGCAGGCCAATGTGATGGAAGAAATTCCTCAGTCTGAGGCTCCCTCTTCCTAAGGAGTCAAGTTGACAACCAAGATTAGCATCACAGAAGCATTGTGAACCTTTATCCATAAATTACAAATGTCTAGAAAGACCAAAGCTATTGAAAATAGCACAATTGCTGGGCATTGCGGCCCACGCCTTTGATCCCAGCACTTGGGAGGCAGAGGCAGGAGGATCTCTGTGAGTTCAATGCCAGCATGGTCTACATGGTGAGTTCCAGGCCAGCTGAGGCTACAGGGAGACCCTGTCTCAAAAAGACCAAATTCATAAGACAGTGTTTCAAAAAGCCATTCCTAGGGGCTGGAGAGATGGCTCAGCATTTAAGAGCACCGGCTGCTCTTGCAGAGGACCCAGGTTCAGTTCCCAGTACCCATATGGCAGCTAACAACCATCTATAACTCCAGTTCTAGGATAACCAGTGCCCTCTTCTGACCTCCTCAGGCATTGCATGACACAGGTGTACTTACATCCATGCAGGCAATACACTCATACACATAAAATAAAAATAATAAAATACTAAAAAGAGAATAGCAAAATTTCAGCTGTTCTGATGTAAGATTTCAGGAAAATCAGTTTCTTTTCTAAATATTGGCCACACACCATCAGTTAAAAACTGGCTCAGTGAGAGATGTTCAGGGCGCCTCTACAGAAAGCCGTTATTAGCCTTGGTGGATAGAATGAAGAGGGGCTTGTTGTTACCACCTGCTGAGTAGCTCCTCAGGCCTGACCTCAGGACATCCACACGTCAGGTCAGACAAGTCAGGGTTCCAGTGGTTGGGGTCAGTGTGCTGCGTCCCTGCTCCATGTATTGCTCCCAAGTCTGCTGAACTCAAGTTGCAGTTCCAGGCCTGGCATCCCCGTGTGCCTGCTGGTTGTCAGCCAGGGGAACCCCCCCTTGCATTATTTTGCCATGTGACACCTCTCAGTCAGCCATAGGGAGCCTACCTCACCTCAAATGTGCTCCCCACTCCCCCAACTCTTTGAGTCATTGTAAAGCCCAGGGCTTTGAGAGCATCAACTAGTGAGGTCAGGCCCACTGGAATGATTGGCCCCCTGTAATGGAACCCAAACTACAAGGGACATCACACCTGCAGCACCTGCCAGCACCCAACAAGAGATTGTGTAAGGGGAGGGCCATTAGGGTCACTTGCTGGAGGTTTCCTGACTTTGGGACTGAGGCAGGAGGATTATCCTGAGCTGGAGGCCAGCCTAGGCTATAGTGTGAGACCCCTGCCTCTTAATAAATAAATAAACCCTGAACAGAGGTTTCTGGTCTTTGTGGGTGAAGAGACTTCACAGTGGGAGTGTTGGTCCCAAGATAAGTGCCTACGCAGTGGAGTGTGTGCGTGTCCCAGGATGTTGGGTGAGTTGGGTAAAGCAATGCAGGCATTAAGGCAAAGGAGCTAATTTCTTTCTTAGAACCATAGGAGACAGAAGGTGGGCAGTGAATCAGGCCTTTCTGTGAGCTGGGATGGGAGCCCAGGTGGTGCCACCTTGGGAAATTCTGTGACAATCCTCCTGGCCTTTTTTTTTTTTTTTTTTTTTTTTGTGACAGAGTCTCACTGTGTAACCCTGGCTGGCCTGGAACTCGCTGTGTTGACCAGGTTGGCCTCAAACTCACAGAGATCTGCCTGCTTCTGTCTCCTGAGTGCTGGGATTAAAGACGTGTGCCACCATGCTTGGCACAGCCAGGTTTTTAAAGGAACTGTTTATAGTAGTTGAGCCTGACAGCATGTGAATAGCGTAGTGGGCCACTGTACCTCGGGGTGCTCATCCCTGGGTTCAGCTCCTGCAACTCAGACCTATCTGGAGACAGTTGTGCATATGCCCCCCCAGGCCTTGCTGCCATCTGGGTGGCTGTGTGGACACTTGTCTCCTAGGGAGTTTGAAGTGTGCAGGAGGACGTGAGATTACAACGGACTCAGGCTCTGTGGATCTTGATGTTCCTGCCTGGGGCTGAGGCCATCCTGGAACCACACCAAGACTCGGGAGAGATGGTTAATGTGGGGTTTATGCAAG